ATACACTTGTAGACTTCTACACGTATACACTTGTAGACTCCTACACTTATACACTTGTAGACTCCTACACGTATACACTTGTCGACTCCTACACTTATACACTTGTAGACTCCTACACTTATACACTTGTAGACTCCTACACGTATACACTTGTAGACTCCTACACGTATACACTTGTCGACTCCTACACTTATACACTTGTCGACTCCTACACTTATACACTTGTCGACTCCTACACGTATACACTTGTAGACTCCTACACGTATACACTTGTAGACTCCTACACTTATACACTTGTAGACTCCTACACGTATACACTTGTCGACTCCTACACTTATACACTTGTAGACTCCTACACTTATACACTTGTAGACTCCTACACTTATACACTTGTAGACTCCTACACGTATACACTTGTAGACTCCTACACGTATACACTTGTAGACTCCTACACGTATACACTTGTAGACTCCTACACGTATACACTTGTCGACTCCTACACTTATACACTTGTAGACTCCTACACTTATACACTTGTAGACTCCTACACGTATACACTTGTCGACTCCTACACTTATACACTTGTCGACTCCTACACTTATACACTTGTCGACTCCTACACTTATACACTTGTCGACTCCTACACTTATACACTTGTAGACTCCTACACGTATACACTTGTAGACTCCTACACTTATACACTTGTAGACTCCTACACGTATACACTTGTCGACTCCTACACTTATACACTTGTAGACTCCTACACTTATACACTTGTAGACTCCTACACTTATACACTTGTAGACTCCTACACGTATACACTTGTAGACTCCTACACGTATACACTTGTAGACTCCTACACGTATACACTTGTCGACTCCTACACTTATACACTTGTAGACTCCTACACTTATACACTTGTAGACTCCTACACTTATACACTTGTAGACTCCTACACGTATACACTTGTAGACTCCTACACGTATACACTTGTCGACTCCTACACTTATACACTTGTAGACTCCTACACTTATACACTTGTAGACTCCTACACTTATACACTTGTAGACTCCTACACTTATACACTTGTAGACTCTTACACTTGTCGACTCCTACACTTATACACTTGTAGACTCCTACACTTGTAGACTCCTACACTTATACACTTGTAGACTCCTACACTTGTAGACTCCTACACTTATACACTTGTAGACTCCTACACTTATACACTTGTAGACTTATACACTTGTAGACTCCTACACTTATACACTTGTCGACTCCTACACGTATACACTTGTAGACTCCTACACTTATACACTTGTAGACTCCTACACTTATACACTTGTCGACTCCTACACTTATACACTTGTAGACTCCTACACTTATACACTTGTAGACTCCTACACTTGTAGACTCCTACACTTGTCGACTCCTACACTTGTACACTTGTAGACTCCTACACGTATACACTTGTAGACTCCTACACTTATACACTTGTAGACTCCTACACTTATACACTTGTAGACTCCTACACGTATACACTTGTAGACTCCTACACTTATACACTTGTAGACTCCTACACTTATACACTTGTAGACTCCTACACTTATACACTTGTCGACTCCTACACGTATAACTTGTAGACTCCTACACTTATACACTTGTAGACTCCTACACTTATACACTGTCGATCCTACACTATAACTTGTAGACTCCTACACTTATACACTTGTAGACTCCTACATTATACATTGTAGACTCCTACACTTATACACTTGTAGACTCCTACACTTATACACTTGTAGACTCCTACACTTATACACTTGTAGACTCCTACACTTATACACTTGTAGACTCCTACACGTATACACTTGTAGACTCCTACACTTATACACTTGTAGACTCCCTACACTTATACACTTGTAGACTCCTACACTTATACACTTGTAGACTCCTACACTTGTAGACTCCTACACTTGTCGACTCCTACACTTGTACACTTGTCGACTCCTACACGTGTACACTTGTCGACTCCTACACTTATACACTTGTCGACTCCTACACGTGTACACTTGTAGACTCCTACACGTATACACTTGTAGACTCCTACACTTATACACTTGTAGACTCCTACACGTATACACTTGTAGACTCCTACACGTATACACTTGTAGACTCCTACACTTATACACTTGTAGACTCCTACACTTATACACTTGTAGACTCCTACACTTATACACTTGTAGACTCCTACACTTATACACTTGTAGACTCCTACACTTGTAGACTCCTACACTTATACACTTGTAGACTCCTACACTTATACACTTGTAGACTCCTACACGTATACACTTGTAGACTCCTACACGTATACACTTGTCGACTCCTACACTTATACACTTGTCGACTCCTACACTTATACACTTGTCGGCTCCTACACTTATACACTTGTCGGCTCCTACACTTATACACTTGTCGACTCCTACACTTATACACTTGTCGACTCCTACACTTATACACTCCTACACTTATACACTTGTAGACTCCTACACGTATACACTTGTAGACTCCTACACTTATACACTTGTAGACTCCTACACTTATACACTTGTAGACTCCTACACTTATACACTTGTAGACTCCTACACTTATACACTTGTCGACTCCTACACTTATACACTTGTAGACTCCTACACTTATACACTTGTAGACTCCTACACTTATACACTCCTACACTTATACACTTGTAGACTCCTACACGTATACACTTGTAGACTCCTACACTTATACACTTGTAGACTCCTACACTTATACACTTGTAGACTCCTACACTTATACACTTGTAGACTCCTACACTTATACACTTGTAGACTCCTACACTTATACACTTGTCGACTCCTACACTTATACACTTGTAGACTCCTACACTTATACACTTGTAGACTCCTACACTTATACACTTGTAGACTCCTACACTTATACACTTGTCGACTCCTACACTTATACACTCCTACACGTATACACTTGTAGACTCCTACACGTATACACTTGTAGACTCCTACACTTATACACTTGTAGACTCCTACACTTATACACTTGTAGACTCCTACACGTATACACTTGTAGACTCCTACACTTATACACTTGTAGACTCCTACACTTATACACTTGTAGACTCCTACACTATACACTTGTAGACTCCTACACTTATACACTTGTAGACTCCTACACGTATACACTTGTAGACTCCTACACTTATACACTTGTAGACTCCTACACTTATACACTTGTAGACTCCTACACTTATACACTTGTAGACTCCTACACTTATACACTTGTAGACTCCTACACTTATACACTTGTAGACTCCTACACTTATACACTTGTAGACTCTTACACTTGTCGACTCCTACACTTATACACTTGTAGACTCCTACACTTATACACTTGTAGACTCCTACACTTATACACTTGTCGACTCCTACACTTATACACTTGTCGACTCCTACACTTATACACTTGTAGACTCCTACACTTATACACTTGTCGACTCCTACACTTATACACTTGTCGACTCCTACACTTATACACTTGTAGACTCCTACACGTATACACTTGTAGACTCCTACACTTATACACTTGTAGACTCCTACACGTATACACTTGTCGACTCCTACACTTATACACTTGTCGACTCCTACACTTATACACTTGTAGACTCCTACACTTATACACTTGTAGACTCCTACACGTATACACTTGTAGACTCCTACACTTATACACTTGTAGACTCCTACACTTGTAGACTCCTACACTTATACACTTGTAGACTCCTACACGTATACACTTGTAGACTCCTACACGTATACACTTGTAGACTCCTACACTTATACACTTGTAGACTCCTACACTTATACACTTGTAGACTCCTACACTTATACACTTGTCGACTCCTACACTTATACACTTGTCGACTCCTACACTTATACACTTGTAGACTCCTACACTTATAGACTTGTAGACTCCTACACTTATACACTTGTAGACTCCTACACTTGTAGACTCCTACACTTGTCGACTCCTACACTTATACACTTGTCGACTCCTACACATGTACACTTGTAGACTCCTACACGTATACACTTGTAGACTCCTACACGTATACACTTGTAGACTCCTACACGTATACACTTGTAGACTCCTACACTTATACACTTGTAGACTCCTACACTTATACACTTGTAGACTCCTACACTTATACACTTGTAGACTCCTACACTTATACACTTGTAGACTCCTACACTTATACACTTGTAGACTCCTACACTTGTAGACTCCTACACTTGTAGACTCCTACACTTGTAGACTCCTACACTTGTAGACTCCTACACTTATAGACTTGTAGACTCCTACACTTATACACTTGTAGACTCCTACACTTGTAGACTCCTACACTTGTAGACTCCTACACTTGTCGACTCCTACACTTATACACTTGTCGACTCCTACACATGTACACTTGTAGACTCCTACACGTATACACTTGTAGACTCCTACACGTATACACTTGTAGACTCCTACACTTATACACTTGTAGACTCCTACACTTATACACGTATACACTTGTAGACTCCTACGTAGCGTACACACGGTTCCGTCGCGTTGAAGCTTGCCGGTGGGCATGTCTGGCGCGCGGCCAACAACCAATCGCATTAATCTCCCGCCCCGGACACACAAAGAGCTCGTTTGATTGGCTAGCTCTTGTTCTGGCATATGATTTGATAGGCTGGTGCTTCCGTCGATGCTTGAAAAGTTGAATTTTTCTCAACTTTCACCACAATGCAGTTCGGCAAAGCATGACGTCAGCCCATTCAAAGTGAATGGGAAGCGTCTCTGTACACAACGGAACCGTGTGGACGCTACACTACGCTTATACTCTTGTAGACTCCTACACTTATACTCTCTTATACACTCATGCACTTATGTACATGCTGCCTTACGTTGCTGTAGAGGTTTCGGTGTGCGATGGGGGGGTCGGTGTTCCACAGTCTGACGGTGTTATCAGACGAACAGGTGAGGAAGGAGGAGGGAGGCAGGCAGGCCTGAGACGCATCCAACAGCTCCGGGTACACCTGGGGAAGCACCACAAACAGTAAATACACCACGAGTATTACTGAAGTACTTCTGACCCTGTGTTAGCAGTGTGTTAGCAGTGAGTTAGCAGTGTGTTAGCAGTGTGTTAGCAGTGTGTTAGCAGTGTGTTAGCAGCGTGTTAGTAGCGTGTTAGCAGTGTGTTAGCAGTGAGTTAGCAGTGTGTTAGCAGTGTGTTAGCAGCGTGTTAGCAGTGTGTTAGCAGTGAGTTAGCAGTGTGTTAGCAGTGTGTTTAGCAGCGTGTTAGTAGTGTGTTAGCAGTGTGTTAGCAGCGTGTTAGCAGCGTGTTAGCAGTGTGTTAGCAGTGTGTTAGCAGCGTGTTAGTAGCGTGTTAGCAGCGTGTTAGCAGTGTGTTAGCAGCGTGTTAGTAGCGTGTTAGCAGTATGTTAGCAGTGTGTTAGCAGTGAGTTAGCAGTGTGTTAGCAGTGTGTTAGCAGTGAGTTAGCAGTGTGTTAGCAGTGTGTTAGCAGTGTGTTTACAGCATGTTAGCAGTGTGTTTACCATGTGTTAGTAGTGTGTTAGCAGTGTGTTTACAGTATGTTAGCAGTGGCTTTGCATTATGTTAGTAGTGGCTTTTGCAGTATGTTAGTAGTGTGTTTACAGTATGTTAGCAATGTGTTAGCAGTGCGTTTGCAGTGCGTTAGCAGTATGTTAGCAGTATGTTAGCAGTGTGTTAGCAGTGGCTTTGCAGTATGTTAGTAGTGCGTTTGCAGTATGTTAGCAGTGTGTTAGCAGTGCGTTTGCAGTGCGTTAGCAGTATGTTAGCAGTATGTTAGTAGTGTGTTTACAGTATGTTAGCAGTGCGTTTGCAGTATGTTAGCAGTGTGTTAGCAGTGTGTTTACAGTGTGTTAGCAGTGTGTTAGCAACATGTTAGCAGTGTGTTAGCAGTGTGTTTACAGCATGTTAGCAGTGTGTTTACCATGTGTTAGTAGTGTGTTAGCAGTTAGTTAGCAGTGTGTTTACAGTATGTTAGCAGTGTGTTAGCAGTGCGTTGCAGTGCGTTAGCAGTGTGTTAGCAGTGTGTTTAAAGTATGTTAGCAGTGTGTTAGCAGTGGCTTTGCAGTATGTTAGCAGTATGTTTGCAGTATGTTAGCAGTATGTTAGCAGTGTGTTCGCAGTGTGTTAGCAGTGGCTTTGCAGTATGTTAGTAGTGCGTTTACAGTGTGTTAGCAGTGGCTTTGCAGTGTGTTAGCAGTGGCTTTGCAGTGTGTTAGCAGTGGCTTTGCAGTGTGTTAGCAGTGGCTTTGCAGTGTGTTAGTAGTGCGTTTACAGTGTGTTAGCAGTGGCTTTGCAGTGTGTTAGTAGTGCGTTTACAGTGTGTTAGCAGTGGCTTTGCAGTATGTTAGTAGTGTGTTTACAGTATGTTAGCAGTGTGTTAGCAACATGTTAGCAATGTGTTTGCAAACACACTGTAAACACACTGCAAACACACTGCAAACACACTGTAAACACACTGCTGTGTGTTAGCAGTGTGTTAGCAGTGTGTTAGCAGTGTGTTAGCAGTGTGTTAGCAGTGTGTTAGCAGTGCTGTAGCAGTGTGTTAGCAGTGCTGTAGCCCGATTTCCTTTCCAAATAGACCTTTATAATAAAATATAAACACTCTTTGAAAATAAAATAAAAATAAGGTGGCGGTGTATAAATGAATGTTGACTTACTTCGATGCTCCACACACAGCTGCTGTGGTACAGAGCGGAGTACAGCTTCCCCACATTCCTCACGTCTTTAACGTCCCACACATACACACTGTGGTCGTTGTACACGCAGGTCAGGTGTCTGGAGGCCGGGTCAAAGGTCAGGGCCAACGTGTCGGGGTACTGAGCCCCTGGACTGACAACACAAACACAGTAAGTACTCAGAGTATACAGCATCTCCCTGGTCCAATTGGATTTCTCCAAGTGATTTTGGTTGATGTCAGCAAATTATCTCTGTGTCAAACAAACGTTTAGTTTAGCAGGATAATCTCCACATATTAACACCACTTTATGATTTCTGAAGTAAAAAGCTAATGTTGGGCTATAAAGGAATTACAGTACGGTCACATGACTTCACATTAGGGGTCGACCGATTATCGGCCTGGCCGATTATCGAGGCCGATATTCCGCATTTTACAGATTATCGGTATTGGCCTTTTTTTTAAATCAAATTGCCGATACAACTTTGGCTCTGATGCGGCCGTTTCTCTGGCTGCAGTCACCACTGTTCACGAGCAATGTCCCGCCCACAGCGCTATCTGAAAGGCTATTACTGAAGTGTCAATCAACACTGAAGATTTTCCGGGCTGCAGCCAGCCAGAGAGGCGGGACCTTCTCAGATTACAGGCAGGTGCGAAGAACGCAGACACAGACAGAGGCAAGCAGCAGCAGTGAGCGGTGTTTCGAAGGTAAATCAGTTGAAAGCCGAAGTTCAATAAACATCCCAATCCCCTATGCTGAAGTTGCAAAAACACCACGATCTTATGATCCAATTCTATCAGTATGTTAGCAGTGTGTTAGAAGTATGTTAGCAGTATGTTAGCAGTATGTTAGCACTGTGTTAGCAGTATGTTAGCAGTGTTTTAGCAGTATGTTTAGCAGTGTGTTAGCAGTGTGTTAGCAGTGTGTTTACAGTATGTTTACAGTATATTAGCAGTGTGTTTACAGTATATTAGCAGTGTGTTTACAGTATATTAGCAGTGTGTTTACAGTATGTTAGCAGTATGTTAGCAGTGTGTTTACAGTATGATAGCAGTGTGTTAGCAGTATGTTAGCAATATGTTAGCAGTGTGTTAGCAATATGTTAGCAGTGTGTTAGCAATATGTTTACAGTATGTTAGCAGTGTTTTAGCAGTGTGTTTACAGTATGTTAGCAGTGTGTTAGCAGTGTGTTTACAGTATGATAGCAGTGTGTTAGCAGTATGTTAGCAATATGTTAGCAGTGTGTTAGCAATATGTTAGCAGTGTGTTAGCAATATGTTTACAGTATGTTAGCAGTGTTTTAGCAGTGTGTTTACAGTATGTTAGCAGTGTGTTAGCAGTGTGTTTACAGTATGATAGCAGTGTGTTAGCAGTATGTTAGCAATATGTTAGCAGTGTGTTAGCAATATGTTAGCAGTGTGTTAGCAATATGTTAGCAGTGTTTTAGCAGTGTGTTAGCAGTATGTTAGCAATATGTTTACAGTATGTTAGCAGTGTTTTAGCAGTGTGTTTACAGTATGTTAGCAGTGTGTTAGCAGTGTGTTTACAGTATGATAGCAGTGTGTTAGCAGTATGTTAGCAATATGTTAGCAGTGTGTTAGCAATATGTTAGCAATATGTTAGCAATATGTTAGCAGTGTGTTAGCAGTGTGTTAGCAGTATGTTAGCAGTGTGTTAGCAGTATGATAGCAGTGTGTTAGCAATATGTTAGCAGTGTGTTAGCAGTGTGTTAGCAGTGTTTTAGCAGTATGTTAGCAGTGAGTTAGCAGTATGTTAGCAGTGTGTTTACAGTGTGTTTACAGTGTGTTTGTGTTTACAGTGTGTTTACAGTGTGTTTGTGTTTACAGTGTGTTTACAGTGTGTTTACAGTGTGTTTACAGTGTATTTGTGTTTACAGTGTGTTTACAGTGTGTTTACAGTATGTTAGCAGTATGTTAGCAGTATGTTAGCAGTGTGTTTACAGTATGATAGCAGTGTGTTAGCAGTATGTTAGCAATATGTTAGCAGTGTGTTAGCAATATGTTAGCAGTGTGTTAGCAATATGTTTACAGTATGTTAGCAGTGTTTTAGCAGTGTGTTAGCAATATGTTAGCAGTATGTTAGCAATATGTTTACAGTATGTTAGCAGTGTTTTAGCAGTGTGTTAGCAATATGTTAGCAGTGTGTTAGCAGTGTGTTAGCAGTATGATAGCAGTGTGTTAGCAATATGTTAGCAGTGTGTTAGCAGTGTGTTAGCAGTGAGTTAGCAGTGTGTTAGCAGTATGTTAGCAGTGAGTTAGCAGTATGTTAGCAGTGTGTTAGCAGTGAGTTAGCAGTGTGTTAGCAGTGTGTTAGCAGTGAGTTAGCAGTGTGTTAGCAGTGAGTTAGCAGTGTGTTAGCAGTGTGTTAGCAGTGTGTTAGCAGTGTGTTAGCAGTGTGTTTTAGCAGTGTTTTAGCAGTGTGTTTACAGTAGGTTAGCAGTGAGTTAGCAGTGTGTTAGCAGTATGTTAGCAGTGTGTTAGCAGTATGTTAGCAGTGTGTTTACAGTAGGTTAGCAGTGTTTTAGCAGTGTGTTAGCAGTGTGTTAGCAGTGTGTTAGCAGTGTGTTAGCAATATGTTTACAGTATGTTAGCAGTGTTTTAGCAGTGTGTTTACAGTATGTTAGCAGTGTGTTAGCAGTGTGTTTACAGTATGATAGCAGTGTGTTAGCAGTATGTTAGCAATATGTTAGCAGTGTGTTAGCAATATGTTAGCAGTGTGTTAGCAATATGTTAGCAGTGTGTTAGCAGTGTTTTAGCAGTGTGTTAGCAATATGTTAGCAATATGTTAGCAGTGTGTTAGCAGTGTGTTAGCAGTATGTTAGCAGTGTGTTAGCAGTATGATAGCAGTGTGTTAGCAATATGTTAGCAGTGTGTTAGCAGTGTGTTAGCAGTGAGTTAGCAGTGTGTTAGCAGTGTGTTAGCAGTGTTTTAGCAGTGAGTTAGCAGTGTGTTAGCAGTGTGTTAGCAGTGTGTTAGCAGTGTGTTTACAGTGTGTTTACAGTGTATTAGCAGTGTGTTTACAGTATATTAGCAGTGTGTTTACAGTATATTAGCAGTGTGTTTACAGTATGTTAGCAGTATGTTAGCAGTATGTTAGCAGTGTGTTTACAGTATGATAGCAGTGTGTTAGCAGTATGTTAGCAGTGTTTTAGCAGTGTGTTAGCAGTATGTTAGCAGTATGTTAGCAGTGTGTTTACAGTATGTTAGCAGTGTGTTTACAGTATGTTAGCAGTGTTTTAGCAGTGTGTTAGCAGTATGTTAGCAGTGTTTTAGCAGTGTGTTAGCAGTGTGTTAGCAGTGTGTTAGCAGTGTGTTTACAGTAGGTTAGCAGTGTGTTAGCAGTATGTTAGCAGTGTGTTTACAGTATGTTAGCAGTGTTTTAGCAGTGTGTTAGCAGTATGTTAGCAGTGTTTTAGCAGTGTGTTAGCAGTGTGTTTACAGTAGGTTAGCAGTGAGTTAGCAGTGAGTTAGCAGTGTTTTAGCAGTGTGTTAGCAGTGTGTTAGCAGTGTGTTAGCAGTGTGTTTACAGTAGGTTAGCAGTGAGTTAGCAGTACTTGTACCTGTGCTGAAGGCTCTGTGTGAGGTCGACCCCGAGGCGGTGTGGGCGGTGCAGAGTGGTGACGTACTGCAGGTTAGAGGGACTGAACGCTCTGATGGCACCGTCAGCACATCCACAGAAGATAAAGTCCTCGCTGACGGCCAGACAGCTCGCCGACGACGTCTGTCAACAACAACAACAACAACATGTTTAGGTTTTCAGAGCAGCATGTCTTCAATAACAAGGAGCTCTTATTTTGTGCATTTTTACAAGGTTTGTGCTTTTCCCATCGTACACAGAGTTTTTAACTTGTGCAGGTGTATCTTAAGTTAAGGTGTATTTCAAGTTCTATATTTTAAGTCTTATAGGTGAATTCTAAATTGTGTAGTTTTGGTCGTACAGGTGTAGTTTAGGTCGTAAAGGTGTAGTTTAAGTTGTACAGGTGTAGTTTAGGTCGTACAGGTGTAGTTTAGGTTGGACAGGTGTTTTGTAGAGGTGTAGTTTAGGCCGTACAGGTGTGTCGTACAGGTGTAGTTTAGGTTGTACAGGTGTTTTGTACAGGTGTAGTTTAGGTCGTACAGGTGTGTCGTACAGGTGTAGTTTAGGTCGTACAGGTGTATGTTCCTGTGTTGCTCACCTTGAGGTCGACCCACGCCTCCAGCTGCCGGCTGCTGTTGAACAGACACAGCAGGCCGGAGCTGGTGATGCAATAAGTGCTGGACGCCGCGGGGCCACGCCCACACGCCACCCCACTGAACACGCTGTTCTTATGGTCACCTAGCAACCCCGACCGACCAATCAGAGGCACCGTGCTGTTCACCTGGACACGGGGAGAAAATAGGTTTGTTAAAACTATCGTGAAATTAGGCTGCGATTGGCTGTTAGAGGACAGACACTGTAGATGAGCTGTGATTGGCTGTTAGAGGACAGACACTGCAGATGAGCTGTGATTGGCTGTTAGAGGACAGACACTGCAGATGAGCTGTGATTGGCTGTTAGAGGACAGACAGTGTAAATGAGTAGTGATTGGCTGTTAGAGGACATGTACTGCAGATAAGCTGTGATTGGCTGTTAGAGGACATGCACTGTAGATGAGCTGTGATTGGCTGTTAGAGGAGAGAAAGTGTAGATGAGCTGTGATTGGCTGTTAGATTACCCGTCGTTCTTTGGAGGCGTCGAGGTACCAGAACTTGACGTGTCTGTTTCCTGCGGTGACGAAGTAGCTGTTGTCCTGCGAGAAAGAGACGGCGGACACTCGGCTGGACACGTTGTTGGAGGCGATGATCGAACCTTTCTGATCAAAGGAAGGACGGGAGGGACGACATCAGCTCCACAGCAAACCAACGCAGTAAATGTTAACGTGCTCCCATCAACCTGTGGACTTTCTCAATGGCTGAAAGGGATGGCTTTCTACCTTGCTCTTGAAAGGATAAGTGTTTTCCTTAAAAACAAACTGGATAGGTTTTGGGAAATCTGGAAAACCTTTTACGACTTCGTGGAGCCGAATGGTCTACAACACGATTGGGAGAATGTATGTATGTTAAGTCTGTCTTGTTATATACTGTTTCTCATCAATATATCACAGGTCTCAGATATATCCAGAGCCTGTCTCTGATTGGCTGAAACACCAAACTGATCATTGCAGCATTACCCATAATCCCCTCTGTTTCAGCCCTGTTTCCAAAGTGCTGATTCTCTGTCTGTTACTTTAGATGAAAATAAGGAGCCCCTCCCCACGCCCCTCTGAGAGACATTTGGTTACAAAGAACTCAATGGTGCTCTAGGAGGAGATTCAGGTGATAAGGTGGGGGGGGGGGGGGGGGGGTTACCTTGGTTGCTGATTGGCTAATGGTTACACAAGCCAAAACATCGTTATGACATCATCAAGTGGCCAAAATCTGATCAGCTCATTTTCAGACAGGTTTTTATATAAATGGATCAAAAAGAGAGAGAATCTTTGTTCCTGAAACTTTCAGAGTCTCTTTCCACAGAGGGACACATGTTGATGAAGAAGAGACATGAGGAAGAGGGGACACATGTTGATGTAGAAGAGACATGAAGAAGAGGGGACACATGTTGATGTAGAAGAGACATGAAGAAGAGGGGACACATGTTGATGTAGAAGAGACATGAAGAAGAGGGGACACATGTTGATGTAGAAGAGACATGAAGAAGAGGGGACACATGGTGATGAAGAAGAGACATGAAGAAGAGGGGACACATGGTGATGTAGAAGAGACATGGAGAAGAGGGGACACATGTTGATGTAGAAGAGACATGGAGAAGAGGGGACACATGTTGATGAAGAAGAGACATGAAGAAGAGGGGACACATGTTGATGTAGAAGAGACATGAGGAAGAGGGGACACATGTTGATGTAGAAGAGACATGAAGAAGAGGGGACACATGTTGATGTAGAAGAGACATGAAGAAGAAGAGGGGACACATGTTGATGTAGAAGAGACATGAAGAAGAGGGGGACACATGTTGATGTAGAAGAGGACATGAAGAAGAGGGGACACATGGTGATGAAGAAGAGACATGAAGACGAGGGACACATGGTGATGTAGAAGAGACATGGAGAAGAGGGGACACATGTTGATGTTAGAAGAGACATGGAGAAGAGGGGACACATGTTGATGAAGAAGAGACATGAAGAAGAGGGGACACATGTTGATGTAGAAGAGACATGATGAAGAGGGGACACATGTTGATGTAGAAGAGACCTGAAGAAGAGGGGACACATGTTGATGTAGGAAGAGACATGAAGAAGAGGGGACACATGTTGACGAAGAAGAGACATGAAGAAGGAGGGGACACATGTTGACGTAGAAGAGACATGAAGAAGAGGGGACACATGTTGATGTAGAAGAGACATGAAGAAAGAGGGGGACACATGTTGATGAAAGAAGAAGAGACATGAAGAAGAGGGGACACATGTTGATGTAGAAGAGACATGAAGAAGAGGGGACACATGTTGATGTAGAAGAGACATGAAGAAGAGGGGACACATGTTGATGTAGAAGAGACATGAAGAAGATGGGGACACATGTTGATGTAGAAGAGACATGAAGAAGAGGGGACACATGTTGATGTAGAAGAGACATGAAGAAGAGGGGACACATGTTGATGTAGAAGAGACATGAAGAAGAGGGGACACATGTTGATGTAAGAAGAGACATGAAGAAGAGGGGACACATGTTGATGTAGAGAGACTGAAGAGCATGAAGAAGAGGGGCACACATGTTGATGTAGAAGAGGACATGAAGAAGAGGGGACACATGTTGATGTAGAAGAGACATGAAGAAGAGGGGACACATGTTGATGTAGAAGAGACATGAAGAAGAGGGGACACATGTGATGTAGAAGAGACATGAAGAAGAGGGGGACACATGTTGATGAAGAAGAGGACATGAAGAAGAGGGGACACATGTTTGATGTAGAAGAGACATGAAGAAGAGGGGACACATGTTGATGAAGAAGATACATGAAGAAGAGGGGGACACATGTTGATGTAGAAGAGACATGAAGAAGAGGGGACACATGTTGATGAGAAGAGAACATGAAGAAGAGGGGACAACATGTTGATGTAGAAGAGACATGAAGAAGAGACATGAAGAAGAGGGGACACATGTTGATGTAGAAGAGACATGAAGAAGAGGGGACACATGTTGATGTAGAAGAGACATGAAGAAGAGGGGACACATTGATGTAGAAGAGACATGAAGAAGAGGGGACACATGTTGATGTAGAAGAGACATGAAGAAGAGGGGACATGTTGTATGTAAGAAGAGACATGAAGAAGAGGGGACACATGTTGATGTAGAAGAGACATGAAGAAGAGGGGACACATGTTGATGTAGAAGAGACATGAAGAAGAGGGGACACATGTTGATGTAAGAAGAGACATGAAGAAGAGGGGACACATGTTGATGTAGAAGAGACATGAAGAAGAGAGGGACACATGTTGATGTAGAAGAGACATGAAGAAGAGGGGACACATGTTGATGAAGAAGATACATGAAGAAGAGGGGACACATGTTGATGTAGAAGAGACATGAAGAAGAGGGGACACATGTTGATGAAGAAGAGACATGAAGAAGAGGGGACACATGTTGATGTAGAAGAGACATGAAGAAGAGGGGACACATGTTGATGAAGAAGAGACATGAAGAAGAGGGGACACATGTTGATGTAGAAGAGACATGAAGAAGAGGGGACACATGTTGATGAAGAAGATACATGAAGAAGAGGGGACACATGTTGATGTAGAAGAGACATGAAGAAGAGGGGGACACATGTTGATGAAGAAGAGACATGAAGAAGAGGGGACACATGTTGATGTAGAAGAGACTGAAGAAGAGGGACACATGTTGATGTAGAAGAGGGGGACACTGTTGATGTAGAGAGACATGAGGGACACATGTTGATGTAGAAGAGACATGAAGAAGAGGGGACACATGTTGATGTAGAAGAGACATGAAGAAGAGGGGACACATGTTGATGTAGAAGAGACATGAAGAAGAGGGGACACATGTTGATGTAGAAGAGACATGAAGAAGAGGGGACACATGTTGATGTAGAAGAGACATGAAGAAGAGACATGAAGAAGAGGGGACACATGTTGATGTAGAAGAGACATGAAGAAGAGGGGGGACACATGTTGATGTAGAAGAGACATGAAGAAGAGACATGAAGAAGAGGGGACACATGTTGATGTGGAAGAGACATGAAGAAGAGGGGACACATGTTGATGTAGAAGAGACATGGAGAAGAGGGGACACATGTTGATGTAGAAGAGACATGAAGAAGAAGAGGGACACATGTTGATGTAGAAGAGACATGAGAAGAGGGGACACATGTTGATGTAGAAGAGACATGAAGAAGGAGGGGCACACTGTTGATGTAGAAGAGACATGAAGAAGAGACATGAAGCAGAGGGGACACATGTTGATTGTAGAAGAGACATGAAGAAGACGGGGACACATGTTGATGTAGAAGAGACATGAAGAAGAGACACTGTTGATGTCTTACATGAAGAAGAGGCTAAAGAGGGGACACATGTTGAATGTGGAAGAGACATGAAGAAGAGGGGACACATGTTGATGTAGAAGAGACATGGAGAAGAGGGGGACACATGTTGATGAAGAAGAGACATGAAGAAGAGGGGACACATGTTGATGTAGAAGAGACATGAAGAAGAAGAGAATGAGAAGAGGGGGACACATGTTTGATGTAGAAGAGACATGAAGAAGAGGGGACACATGTTGATGTAGAAGAGACATGAAGAAGAGGGGACACATGTTGATGTAGAAGAGACATGAGAAGAGACATGAAGAAGAGGGGACACATGTTGATGTAGAAGAGACATGAAGAAGAGACATGAAGAAGAGGGGACACATGTTGATGTAGAAGAGACATGAAAGAAGAGACATGAAGAAGAGGGGACACATGTTGATGTAGAAGAGACATGAAGAAGAGGGGACACATGTTGATGTAGAAGAGACATAAGAGACATGAAGAAGAGGGGACACATGTTGATGTAGAAGAGACATGAAGAAGAGGGGACACATGTTGATGTAGAAGAGACATGAAGAAGAGGGGACACATGTTGATGTAGAGAGACATGAGAAGAGGGGACACATGTTGATGTAGAAGAGACATGAAGAGAGGGGACACTGTTGATGTAGAAGAGACATGAAGAAGAGGGGACATGTTGATGTAGAAGAGACATGAAGAAGAGGGGACACATGTTGATGTAGAAGAGACATGAAGAAGAGGGGACACATGTTGATGTAAAGAGACATGAAGAAGAGGGGACACATGTTGATGTAGAAGAGACAGAAGAAGAGGGGACACATGTTTGATGTAGAAAGACATGAAGAAGAGGGGACGCATGTTGATGTAGAAGAGACATGAAGAAGAGGGTACGCATGTTGATGTAGAAGAGACATGAAAGAGGGGACACATGTTGATGTAGAAGACATGAAGAAGAGGGGACACATGTTGATGTAGAAGAGACATGAAGAAGAGGGGACATGTTGATGTAGAAGAGACATGAAGAAGAGGGGACACATGTTGATGTAGAAGAGACATGAAGAAGAGGGGACACATGTTGATGTAGAAGAGACATGAAGAAGAGGGGACACATGTTGATGGAGAAGAGACATGAAGAAGAGGGGGGACACATGTTGATGTAGAAGAGACATGAAGAAGAGGGGACACATGTGATGTAGAAGAGACATGAAGAAGAGGGGACACATGTTGATGAAGAAGATACATGAAGAAGAGGGG